TTTTTGGTAGCTGTGGCCTCTTAGCTGCCCAACTACTATAGTATCCAATCTTGTCATTTTTTTATTTTGCCGACAGGAAAGTGTCAAAAATCACGAGAATTGGTACACGCGCCGGCTTCCATTTGAATTATTTTCACTTTTAATAGGATTCGTTATACAAGTAATTCACAATTATACGTCATTGCCCGTAGAGGGCGCCATGCTACAAAGTCCACATACCTGCAACTAAGACAAGTTCACAAGCCGTTCGTCATACACTTATACTGCACGCTTTTAATCGAAAACAATATCATAGTATATTATATTGGACAATCAAACTTAAGAATGGACATGGCTAAACCTTATTAAGTTTATTCTCTGTAACTGGCCATTACAATGTCAGAAGGAAAACTTTGTCTAATTTTCAATTCAAAAAGGACACTAGAGTTTTGCTATAGAAAAATCACAATTACACAAAGGTTATTGTTGTCATGGAAACGAGCTCAGGAGTATTTTTTTCTATTTTTTTTTAAATGAAGCCGATTCAACTACCAGTACACTTGACTTGGCAATGAGAAAAATAGATTCAGCCGACTGCTCACTCTGAATGTATCAGTCCGCCATTTGAAAATCAATTAATTTTCCATAAAATTCCCCTCAGAAATTCAAGGCTTGCTTTTTCTGGTATTACACGTATATCAAATACAAGTATATCGTCCCAAACAGAAAGTTATTTTCAAAATGGGTGTCTATCCCTTGCATTCATAATTCTGCTCCCCATCCCTTTACCATAGTAACAGTTTGAAATATACGCAAAATGAAATGCAGAATGTTGCTAGTTTTAACTGAGAAGCAAGACACTTGGCTCTTATTGACAGAATTTCAAAGAAAGATATATCTGATTCAGACAGTTTTAGATGAACTATTTATATACATGTATATTTTGAAGAAAAAAACAACTTTTTTTTTTAAAGAACTCAATTTATAATAAATTCAATTCTGTCCAATATGTTGTGTTTTCCCTTTTTTCACAAATAAGTACACGCAAGCAATCTGAATGTGTGTTCTTGGACTGCACGTGTCCCAAATATTGGTACCTAATTTGTCTGTCCAACTTGTTTCCATGGAAACAAAGTGGGTGTACTTCTCGTGCACAATTAATGAATAAAAAACCTGGAACTTTGCAGGAAAAGAAGCTGTGCTTGGAATGTAAACAATGTAGTTACTTTTACTATTTGAAAACGAAATATCAGATATTATAAAATTATTATAAAATTGTGACTCTTTCCATAAATATGAAAACAGTTAATGAAGATAGTTTTCAACTTTGTAGTTACGAAATGGAATTGTTGGAATTGAGAAAAAAAGTTAACGTATTTGTAGGTCTGCAAATTTTTCGTCAAACAGAAGGAAATGAGTAAAACGAATAATGAATTGCTTGATAATCGTTCTAAAATTCATAGCAACAAGTTAATTGAACCTTTGTGACATTTTTAAAACTGCCCCTCGGTTATTTATCTAAAATATTCAGGTCATGACAAAGTTTTTATTAAATAATAAGAGTACCGGGGTACATCTTTATTTCTCTAATGGCATACATGTCAAGAGGGATTTAAAATACTGTATGACGAGTAAAAGATTACAACAAGCAGCCCCTTGGGCAAAATGGCTCCGCTGTACTGAGGATATCATTGAAAAATGAACTAATCTGAGAAAGGTCTACCTGAGGTCCCTACATGTATAGTATCAAAGCAATCAGACATGCGGTTTTTAACATCAAGTTGAAAATATCTCTTTTTACCAAAAATTACAAAAATATTCATCAAAATTAAAGAATTGAAGATATCATCATGAAATGAACAAATCTGCGAGAGGTTTACCTGTAGTACCTATACGTATATTATCAAAGCAATCACACTTGCTGTTTTTTAACAAGAAGTCAAAAATATCACTTAATATTTAATATACTGTAAAGGAATTAATTATTCACTGGGTTTTAATCTCACTACCGCTATTTTCGCTAATAAGTATAATTCGCTAAATTAAATCCATGTGAATAAGTTAAATATCAATCTAGAAATCATTGTTTCCCGGGGTAAATCTGTGAACTTAAAACCCAGTGAATATGCTCAAAGTAAAATTAAATGTCAGTGAAAAAACAAATTGTTTTACAGTAGATTAAAACTTCAGTCAATTTTTTCAATTTGAAGATCTTTGACATCAACGCTACAAAATTTCATGAATTTCACAAAATCGGCGCAAAATTTGCCCCTTGAAAAATTAAAACGATTTACAATAAATTGTTTACATGACATTTGAACAGAACAACTTGAAAGCTTTATTTGAGATTAAAATTTTAATTGAAAGGTTAATTAATTAATTAGATTAGTCAGAAATCATGAAAAATACATTGCATAATCTGGATATTGATTTTAAAATCCTCATATTGAAGGGACATTATTGTCGTAAGTGCGCATGAGCACGTTAGTGACCCCCCCCCCCCCGCACTGAGAACGAACTCATTTTTGATGTTTTCGCTGAAGGGATGATTCAGTGAAAATAAAATCCAGCGAATATACATTTTTTCCTATGTATTACATTCAACTTGACAAAAATCAGTGAAAATAAATTCCATACAAAATGCTTAAAGCGTGGTAGTCGTCGCGCTGCGCATGTGCAAGATATATGGGTCTCATATAAACAAAGATGGCGGCTTTTACTGTTGCGCAGATCAATGAGTACGAACTGACACGTTATTTTCATGTGATTGGAAGGTATCGAAGGAGTCACCGGCGGTAATCAGTGCAAGTCGCGCCCAGGTCAAACCTCATACTTGTGATTTCCATTTGAAGAGCACATTGGATTGTGGGAAAATCAATGTTTATCAACACAAATGTTGAACATGCGCAGCGCGACGATTATCGCACTTTAAAAAGTGTTTTCAGCGAAAATTAATTCCAGCTAAAATAAAATATTCTACAGTATGTTGAAAAGTTGAAAATGATTGGCACTATTATTCTAAAAGAAAGCTTATTGGTTATTAGTTTTTATGAAATTTACTGAATACTCGAATCATAGTTTTTAAATAAGGACTGTTTTGAGAGGACGCTGTATCAGCATAATTTGATGATATACTGCATCTAAAGCAGAGGGGTCGGGAATTGAAACTTAAGCGTCAATATAAATTAACTAACACTAAAATCTTAAAGGCTCACGCTTGTTAGTAAACATCAACACACTATGGCTGTTTGCCGCATGCGCAGATGACGACTCCCTTGCTTTAATGTAGAATGTCTGAAAAATGTCAATTTATTTAATTTTACATAAAAATATGAGGTGAATGTTTTGAGAAAACGCACAAGATGGGTTGAAAATAGCATGTTTTGTCTATTTCAGAGAATTTTACCATTGTTTCTTATGACAAGGATATATGTTAATCGAAATGGACATTTTATAATTCATAGTATATCTGATTATTTCATTAAATACACGTAGCTTCATCATAAATAGAAGTTACATCAAAACAAAGGTCTATAACGTCCTTAAAATAAACAACATAAGTAGAGAAGCATGTGAAAGAAACGTTCACATTCAGTTACGACACTTCACGTCTACGAATTTCATGGACCTATCATACTATAGCTTATAAAGTCAGTTACATTAAAAGTAACTTTGTCAAAGTTAAAATGTCTGGTAACCGATTTCTTCTAATCTAGAAAACTCGGTTGTACCAGCTTAAATATGATAATGTTGAATAGAATTGACTCTATGGTAAATACAAAACATGAATGTTAATATGGGTAAATGTAAATATATAAATAAATTTTCATCTATCTGGTCTTGACGTTTTAGCTAGTACTCACAACAGTTTTGGTTTTAGATATATTCGTTCCAAACTGGAAGGTCTGGTCCGGTCTGAACAGAACGAGCAATTATCTGGGCAGTGCACACATGTTATAAAGTAAATTCATTCATCTGCTTACGATGCGGCGGATCTACTCTAATTTTTTAAATTTCGCCCTAAATTATATTTTCTATGTGCTGTCACTGCAAAATGTATTCAATAAAATAAAAAATAAATAGAAGTCAACATTTCAAGTTCACATTTGCTAATATTGAAAATGCATTTCTAAAAGAAATGAACATATCTATGTGTAATAAAATTATGTTCTTAAATCATAAATTAAAGCAAGTCCTAATTTGACTATATCAACCTGGCTATCTGCATGTTGCCTTATAAGGAAATAAAAATTCCAAATAAGGAATGACGGAATGACATTTTCTATATGGCTGATGTAAGTTTTAAACTTATAACCACCGTATTTAATCTAGTATATGATAAATGTAACTGTTGGTTTACAACTGTATTGTTTTGTTTGTTACCACTTGCCCAGTCCTCAGCTTTACAAACTGAATGTACCAACCAGGCACACAATAATATGGTTCTTCTGACGAAGACGCCAAGTACGGTTTCAGCACAAAGTCACTAAGATAATGCCAAGTACGGTCTCTGCACAAAGTCACTAAGATGATGCCAAGTACGGTCTCTGCACAAGTTCATATCACATAATATTCTCACTGTACTGACTCGGTCCATACTTCATTGCATCCTGACAATAAGTGATTTTCCACTCACTGCCAAAATCCTGCATAATGTGGTGATCAAACATCAGCTGTAAAAATCGAATGATTCAATTTTGAGCTTTACATTTTTTTTATCATTCAATGTCAAAATAATGACGTTTCAGAGAAGAATACGGCATTAAAATATCCTTACAATGTACTTCATCAAAATTTACCAACATCTAATGTGTATAGTACATTATTGAGTTTAAAAATACTCAAAAAATACTTCGGTGTATGTTGAATCCTATGTGATGTTTTGTCACCATTACAAAGCTATTTATTTGCCGGCTTTTACAATTAATTTCATGCAGATCACAGGATTTCACAGTGAACAGAAATGGTCTATTACTTCCACGGTATCCCAACAGCACAATATCGGGGATGGATAACAAGCACTATCTCTGCTGCGGCGAACCTAGGTCAAACATCACTGAATGTAATAACCATCCAGAGGCAGTATTGCATGCTGGGTAATACAATCTGAAAAAGAAAAATGGAATTGGGTCTTGAAAAGAAAAAAAAAACTTAAATTATTTACAAGGTTTTAATTACATGGAATGCTCAAATTAGTGAAATTAAATCCCCTGAAAAATAATGTTTTCACAGTACACATCGCATGGAACCATGTAAAGCACGTTGTAGAGTGATGGCAGTGGTGTCAGTTTTTTGTCGGCTGATTTGTTTTTTATACTATATTGTTTACATAGGTGAGAGGTGGTACCGGTAGATAGTATGTAGATGTAGGTGGTTTAGCAGTCAGAATTTTTCAATATTTTGAAAATTGAATTCATGAATTATATTGAAGGAACTGTGCTGACTCATTCGGTGATTGGATTGAGAGATTATGTAACGTACACGCTAATATAAGTCAGACTGGAGCCAGGCTAGTTACATGATGACTAGTGAATTCTTGAGAAACACGATTTCGTTTCACATCCCAGGAAAAAATTTTAAAAGTGAATAGATTTTTATTGTATTTTTTATATTAGGCTGGAGTTATTTATAGGTCAAAATTTTGACCATTCTCACGTCTTTCTCACGTACGTGAGTTGGGCTGGAAATTAGCCATTGTCACGTAATTACTTTTTCGTGCGGGAGTTTGACAGTTTCCGGTCAGTTCTCACGTGCGTGAGAATGATTGTTTCCTAGTACGTGAGAATGATGCCATGTCTGGTTGTTCAAATTTATGTGAGAACATACTTAAAACAGTCATTCTTACGTACGTTAGAATGACTACGGTGTCACCCTTGAATTGTACTGTGTTTAATACGTGAGAATTACGTGGGCATGATCATTTTTGGCATTTTAAATACCTGTAGGCTGGGGTTTTTCTGGAAAAAAACTGCCAGAGGGAGCACTGCAATTCAGCAGTGCCACCAGGTGAGGAGTTCTCCCTACCAAGTTAAAATGGAGCATTAAATGGCTTCCTTGGGGCCAAAATTACTATCAGACAGGTCACAGTTGATGACTGTGGCCACATGTGATCCCTGGTCAATCAGAATTATGGTTGCCAGAGGATCTGCTCCCCAGGGTAAGGGGACCCATGGCCTTGGCATGAGGGTTTTCTTGTTTAAAAATATCCCTGTTAGGATTATTTAATACTACAACAACAAGATATATTATTATTATTAAATAATACTTTTGAATACATGCATTAGATTAGATTAGTGTGAATTGACAAAACATCCTCTGAAAAAGAAAACAACTACATTTGTAAATTTGCAAAAAAAAAAACAAAAAAAATTGTGAGGCACAGGGTTCAAACAGATGCGCTGGAGAAAACAATTCATCTTCAATTCAGCAATTTGGGAAACTCACCTAAAATCCATTTTTCTTCTATCATTGGCACATCGTTTTTAATTTTTGTTTTCCCGACACACAGCCTCGCGGTGCGCAACGTGTTGCATACGGTTCCTCCGCAAAGAGTCACCAACTCTGTCAATCGGTTTTGTGGCGGCAGACTATTTTCAGCAATGTAGAGTGGGCTTGCGGTTATGAATATATCTTGACGATAGTCATCTTCAACGCCATTTGCTTGTTTCTCCAGTCTGGAAATCTGGAATGATTCAAAATTGTTGACCCTTCTATATTAATAATACCCTGTTATGTTCGCACAGAGTTTCTCTGTCAGGGCTTAAGAGGTCAAAAACTTTAGCCGGTACTAATTATAAGAAGACATTGGCAATCAAGAACAGACTGAGAAATGATGAGCCAGAGTTATTTCTGATACTCTTTTAAGACTGGTTCAGGGCTTACTACTAGACTATAGACAGTTCTCGGGCCTAATAAAGATTCACTTATTTTTCAAACGCCGTAGAAGTGTTAACGAAATACCGAAGGCATTTCAAGCAAGGTATGTAAGGCCTACAGCGTTTGAAAATAAGTGACTCTTTACTAGGCCCGGGAACTGTCAACAATCTAGGCTTATTTATTTATGGCTTAGGCCATTTCCATTGTTATTGTCATGGAACTTTTTATGGTTACGAGAAATTAAAAATAAAAAGAACAGGAGACTTGTTTATTTATAAGTTTGTCTCTTTCTCCAACATTTTATGTGGAAAAAAAGCAGACTATGAATAAAACTATTATGTGGATGTTGACCTTGGCAGTCAAAGGATTAAGAGGGCATACCTGGGCGGCAGGAAAGAAGTCGTGAAGTTCATATGGCTCCTCCTCAACCCACTTGCTTGCTTCTAATGACTTCAGTACCTAGGAAAATTAAAAAAAAAGAATTGAAGCAATCTTTGCTACCTGTACCTCGATAAAATATGCAAACCATGGTATTTGGAGCAGTTTACTTGATGAAGAGGGGAGAATATTTGAGGGGCAAAAACAAATCTCATGGATATCAACAAGATCTTGACGGCCACTTTTGTTTAAATTCTAATCAGGATCTCGGAATGTTCATGGAGGTGTAATACTTGCCCATTCCATACTGAGTAACCAACAGCCTCTAGCAATGGCAGATAAGACATTCAATGTTCGTCTGTTTCCTCCACATACTACATGCGTTGTGTTGTCCACCACAGAATCTACTATGTCAAACCCTTGGAGTTTTTTCACAACAGATAAAACCAAGTCTTGTTCACTATGGTAATTAGAGAAACAAAGAAAAATTGTTTTTATTGTCATAAAACCAAAAATAATATGCATAATTCTGAAAAGTGAAAAAATAGCGAAATATGCAGGTTTATTTTATTAAATAAAATCAAAGGGTTTGTCAACATACCACAATATATTCCTGGACTTTTACCATATGGTTTTATTCTATGCTGTTGCTCACAAAATCCAGATAGAAATGTCTGGTCACTGCACTAAAATTGCCAGTTTACATTTTTTCCATAGTTTTTTTAATAATTTTTGTTCAAATTGACTTTCTTGCAGACAAGATCCCCCCAACCAACCAACCAACCCCAACCCATCTGTATATTTTCAATTTGTTGGCCTTGTACAAGTCTTGTAAGAATATTTGTTAATAATGCTTCTCACCATTTTGGAATGCTTGTCATTACCAATGTCTTCTTTGGCTGTAATGTAGATAAAAAACACATGTCATTGCAAAGACAGATTCATGGATAAGCGCAGGCAAGTTGATTACCATGGCGATATGATTAAACCAAGTGTCACAAATTAAATTTGTTCAGACCGACATAATTTTAGAAAATAAATAATTGACCTCCATCAAAAATACAATTGTCCCAGTCATCTCCAAAAACTGATTGTAGACACATTGAAAAATATCGTCAAAAACAAAAACCAGTCACCTAAATTTGATCGGACCAAAAAATAAAGGAAATATTGAGTACCAGACACCAGGCCAGAAAACTTTCCTATTTTATCATCCCTGCTGGAAAGCTACTAGTCCGACAATAAATATTATTTTAAAATGCATTTAAAATCACTATTACCATAATAACTGAGAATTTAGCCCCCTCCCCCACAGTAGTAGATACCTGTAATAAACAATATACAATGTACTAATTTCTTAAAAAGAAAAATATTTTCTCACCTTATTTTTAACCAATTTTCGTCGTTTCACCGACTTTTTAGATTTTGTGTTGTCAGGTTGATCCCATTCATTTTCAGATTCAGAAGACATGCTGTCTACAGGACGAAGACGCTTTTTCCTGGCACTTGCAACTGCTAGATTGAAGTCGTCTATACTTTTACGACCTTTGCGTATCTCTGTGACGACAGTCTGACTTGCCGACTCGTCGTCTGAATCGTCATCGCTACTGCTCATCATGGAGTTCAAAATCTGACGAAATTCTTCTTGCTTGTGTCTTTTTTTTGCATTTACATTTGTTTCTGGAACACTGTCAGCTCGTCTCTTTTCAGAGACAATCTTTGTTACTGACTTTCTTCTTGGCCTTCCACTTGCTTTTTCGACAACAATAGTCTCTTTGTCTTTGTACTTCGTTGTTTCCCGTGGTTCTATTAACTGTTCTGTAAGCAGAGGCATTGAATTTGCCGAAAATAATTTTCTTTTTTTGGTCGGTCGACTATTCTGAGTGTTGTCATCTATTGGGACTGGTAACTCAAGATTTCCCTCTGTTTCATGAAGAACAGATTTCTGTCTGTTTTTGTCTGTTTTTTCCTCACTTGCTTTATCCCCTGATTCACTGTCTCCTATTTCCTCTGCATCTGTTTTCCTGGAAATGGACCTGCGTCGCCTTGGTTCCTCAACCTTCCTAGTATTTTTATTCAACATTAAATCAGCCTCACCTTGGACTTTCTCCCCACCTCCCACATTACCGCACCATGAAACAGACTTTCTTCTCGACTGGGATTCACTTGTTTGTTTTAATTCGTTGAGTCTTTTATTTATGGTATTCTTTGAGCCACTATGTTCACTTGCCATGACAACTTTAGTGCTAAGGCCAATATTATCAAGCCCACCTAGGGACACAGATCGTTTTGAAGGCAGTTTAACTGACTGTTTAATTTCATCTTTCACATCATCTAAATCCAAACATACAGATTTTTGTCCATGAACATTTCTTTTATCGTCTTCAATCGGGATGAGTAAAATGTTATCATCGTCATCATCAAGACTCTCGGTTTGAGAAGTTTCAGACGTATCCATCGCTGTCGGTACTTTCACGGATCTTCTTCTCGAGGTAGGTTTCCCATTCTTGTTGCTTTTCATTTCATTTTCTTGACCTTTTCCAACATCAGGATCTTTCACAACATACCTGAGTTTCTTAGATTTCTCCTTAAGCGTCTTAATCTGGATGGGCTGCCCTACTTCATCAGATGAGACATGAATAATATTTCCAACATCACTCAAACTCATGGACCTCTTTTTTGCCCTATCATCGTCAACAACCAATCCGGAGCTTTGATTTGAGGTTGATTCGTGCTGTATCGTACTATGTAGTAAGTTATCAGCATCTGACTCGTTGCTCGCAGTTACCAATTTCTTTGTTCTCACCGATCTACGTCTGGAAACAACTTTCATATTGCTAGTCTGCCCATTCTCTTGCCTCTTCTGATCTGAACTGAGTATGTTGGATTGTTCTGTGTTACCAAGCACAGTCTTCATTGATCTTCTCCTATTGGGAGATGCATGAATAATGTTACCAACATCACCTAAACTTTTCAGTCGTCTCTCTTTCTGGTTTGGATTTTGATCGGTTTGACGAACGAAGCTTCTTCCCATGTTCACGTCATCAGGATGAAGTTTACGTTTTTCATGTTCATTCTCGACATCAATATTCCTAACATGGAGAAGTTTAGAAGAATCCTTAATTTCTTCATCTTCCTTCCCATCAAAGTTGTCACCATCATCACATGCTTCATTTTCCGACAAATCAAAGAGTGGATGACTCGTAGACGGGGAATCCTGGAGCTGTTTTTTACTCCTCGCTCTTTTCAAGGATTTCACTTTCTTAGAGAGCGTCTCTGAAAGAAGCTTCTGCAAATGACTGTCCTCATCTGACGATTCAGAACTCAGATTACTGAATGCTGGGAAGAAAACAATTGAAGTTAGTGAAAAAAACAGTACTGTATAGTGTTTGGAAACCAGTTGCCATGGTTACAATGCATGCACATGGTTGTCCCTTTTATCAATCATTAAGAATGGACGTGATATTTGATATTTTGTTGAGCGAAATGTGAAACAAATAAAACATGACTTGATTTTTTTTTTTTACGTTATTATAATGACGACTGAGTAATAATCAACATTTGCCACACATTGAAACCGAGTATGATATTCGCATGTGAAATAGTGTGACCGAATTACGCTACTGTGATCATTTGCTACATAAAGCTATGTGTTCATGTATGTTTTTATTTGAAACAAAATTAAAACCAATTTTTGTACATGTGGAAATACCAAAATTGTGTTGGACTGTAAACTTTTAACTGTTTGTGATGCATATTTTAGAATCAAATCAGGGCCTTTCACTCTCACCTGACGTCTAAATTAGAATATTTACGGTTTTTTGCAAATACTGTAATTCTTTCATTTGGTATACGGTACATACTACATCATACATCAAAGGCTACAAACCAAACAAATCTGATAATAGAGCTTCAAGAAACCTCACCAATCGATAATCACCTGACACAAACTGCTCATATTTACATGAACTTAGTCTACTGTAAAATACTTTATTTTTGCTTGGAATTTATTTTCACTATTTTCGCTGAAGGAATGATTCAGTGAATACAAAATCCAGCGAATATATCTTTTTTCCTATATTTTACATTCAACTCGTCAAAAATCAGTGAAAATAAATTCCACACAAAACACCCAAAAAGTCTTTTCAGCGAAAATTAATTCCAGCTAAAATAAAGTATTTTACAGTATCAGATTTGATTTGATTTGATATGATTTGCGCATTCATTATAAAAAATATTTAACCAAACTCAATTTTATTTGAATTACCAGAAATTTGGAAAAATTTCTCACCAGGGTTTGATAGGACATGCACATTTTTTAAAATATATTTATTAAATCCCTAAATCTCGATTTGACAAAGTCTGGAAATAGATTAGCCTACATACATGTGAGTATTCATTTATTTTCTCTTGAGCACACACATGTACATAAAATTACTTCTTTAAAGTCGTTCACGACCATAAAAACATGACATTTAAAAATTATCACATACATACATTATCAAATTATTTACATACACGCATGTCATTCATATTTACCGGGGGAGACATTTTTATGGAGAAATACGACTGAAAAGTGGCCATTTTGAAACATTTACCACAAGATTCCATGTAAACATATTATTCCACGGATAACTTATACTGATATTCAAATTCTCCAATTTTTCGTGACAGTCATATGTAGCCCTTATAACACTACATATCACTCTTTTAGAATAGGTCATGGAACAAAATTTGGAGATATGATGTAATGTTCCTGCCATGGGAACTAATGGTATTAAACTATTCAAAAAATGCATTTTTGATCAATTTTCAAGGTCCTTTTGTGGAAAACATTTATATACCGCTATATTTTTATTTCAAAATTTTGAATATTACAGTAACCCAACCCTCTCACTGGATTTTTTTTTGAAATGGTAGAAAACCTTAATTTGGGATTTAGCCTCTGTAAACATATGAGTTTTGAAACGATATTGAGAAAATATCGGTAAACTTACAAAATAATCTTTTTCTTTTTACGTCTGGGGTTGGGTTTTCTTCTGCTAACGCTAATGGAGATCTACCAACTACTGGCCTTTCACAGCTTAACCCTAAAAACAATTACAAAATATTTTATAAAGTACTGTCTCAATCAAGGTAAACACATTAGTTTACATCAAAATAAATTTGTTTCTGAACGACTGTGAATAAATATAATTAATATCATTCTTGTATTACAAATTCAGTAAAACCATTTATTTTGAGCATATTCACTGGATTTTAAATTAAAAGAAATTGACAGTGTTGCAAAATTGAAACCCAGTGAATAATTAAGACATTTACAGTAGAGTTGTTGTTGCTGTGTGATTGCAATAACAATTTCTTCCTTTAATAGGGCAAGGTGGTTTCATAGAACAGTGACCGTATTTTCTCTATTAGTATCAGTAGTGCATATACCCGGTACTTACCTAAATGACAGATAAAGAGTCAATGGTCAAGATTAGTCATATTTTAATGTACCAGCGTACAAATACAATTTTTGTTTTACAGATATGTGCGTGTTTATTAAAAATGCATTTCAAATACGGCAAATATGGAATTTGTCACAGAATATTAGGGGCACTTTGATTTATACAAAAATTCAGGCCACATAAAACAAATTTGGCGTTTACTGTAACAGGATAAAAAAAAGATACCGGTAGGTATGGTTCTTTACATTGCTTAATTTTTTTTTTTTCTAATTGAGGTTATTGCTAGAATACATTCATGGTTTAACAACAAGTTTTCATGATCTATTTTTACAGTACAACATTGAAACGTACATGAAATCAAAAATTACAACATTGGTGGGATGACCACAGCTAATTTGCATAAAAATAAATAATTTTCAACTTATTTGCATAAAATGCAAATTTAATTATTTTTCTAGGCAGGGTTTCCAAAAATAAAAATTTCATTTTACCAGTAATTGACTTCATTTTTGAGCGTCAAATAAAATTTCAGATATTATGCACAAAATAGTTTCCTTTATAGTCTGCTCTTTTTCACATGAAATGTTTCACAAATTTCAAATTTTTTCATCAAAAACTTGAATTAATGCTACATTTTGTCTGTCTGGCCCAACATTAAGAATGAATTCGGTGAAAATGACAGAAAATATGAACAAATTCACTCAAATTTGAGCAAGATAAAAATTTGCCGCTCAAAAGGTTAAATACACAATACATTGTAGCTATACCATGATACAATAATAATATGTTTGTAGATGTCAATGTAACAGTAAAATCCATTGCAGACATGCCAACTAACAGGATTTCTCAGCTGTATTCACAACAATGATTTTTTAAACTTAGTGAACTTTCAGTATTTAATAGTATGTATCCACGGTAACCACTAACCTAATTTCAAGGCCTGGTTTTCACGCATTATTCTCATTTTTTCCCTCATACTTGGCGGAGTCTTTGGTACAATGATGCGTAAAGGCGGTGTAAAAATACTGCCAGCCTGCAGATTGAAAACAAATTAGTTAAAACTAAGAGCTGATATCCAAGGGCTGGTAACTCCAATGTGATATGCTAGACATGCATACATTCCAGTAAAATTAAAATTAAACACTATTCATAACATTTTGAACTGTGCACCGTTGCAGGAATTTGGTCACAGTAACGGTGCACTCGAACAGAACTGATTTTGTAGGGATCAGGACTCAAAATGTATCCCCCAATATAAAGTTGAGTCAGTTTGTTTGCTGGAGGAGGGAGATCTTCAAAAAAAAATGTGTATGTATATGTATGTATCTATAAAATGTTGTATGGTGTCTGATTTCGTTTTTTCACTTATTTTGTTTTCTCAATTATAAATTCTGTAACTATAGTAAAATGTTTTCAAGATCACTATATCGATGAACATTTTCTGTTGCATCAATGACATGCAATTAAATTAGCATAACAAGTTGCATCACGTCAAATCTGTGTGCCTCATATCGACTTAGAAGGCACACTGGTAATGATTTATGAGAAATTTGTGAAAACGGTGAACAAGAATGACACCAAAGTCAACTTTTGTCAACTTTTACAAACTAGAGCTGTATAATTTTTAAAAATGTTTCATCAAGTTCAAAATGAACAAAGTAAATATATTTAAATTTAAAAAAATTTTGCACCAAATTTCGGGCTGAGAACATAATGACGCCGAAAGGGTTAAGACGAATGTTGAACTTGAACAAGTGTGCTATTTCCTCAAAGAAAGTAAAATTTTGATAAAAGCATCTTTCTATTTAATTTATAGCAGTCATAAAGATGTATTCTTTCAAGAATTTTTTTTTATGTAATTGACTTACTGGGCTGAAGTGGTCTCTGATTGAGTTCGGTGTCCCTGTAAGAAATAAACAGCAAACTTTCAGTATAAACATTGATGTAATACATTGTATAGCTACAGTACTAATAACATACGTTGTAAACAACACACGTTGAAATGTACATGTCAACAGGCCAACGAATCATGTGCAAGATTCTCTCAGGAGAATTTTTCGATTAGAATTAGTCTGAGATGCACACCAGACTGAGTTGTTTCATGTGTGTTAGTGCGCCCCCCAAAGCAGAATTCTAATAGCAACGTATGACATAATTTACTGCAAAGAAGATAAAAAAAATAACCTTAATACCCGGTAGTCGAGGAACAGCACAATACACCAGCTTTCAACTTGTATAACGATGCAACTTTCAGATTTGAGTTTTGACCAGTGTACTTAAACAGGGCTTTGACCTAAGTTTTGCTGACAATTATATCTAATTATTATTATACATCTGTCACGGTAACGCCATAAGTTACAGCGTGTCGTAATTTTGCCGTATTTTACGAGGTATTTTCATTCTATTATATTAGGAAATGCGAATTTCAAATATGGAACGATTACGTGCATAAGCTTCCTCTAATAATAAAAACAAACATGGCTGCCACTAGGGTTTGACCGGACCCCACAGAAAGAAGTTCGCTGATTCTGTTCTAAACTTTTTGTATTTCGGCATTCCCATGATGTATCTTCGGGAGGAAAAGATGTATAATACTAAGGTTATTACGAGGATACCGGAAGTATGCACTCAGACAGTACACGGTTGCATCGACCTCCGCTGCGTGTTGGTCAATACTCCCACTGTACTGTCTTTGTGCATCCTCGTATTAACCTCATATTATTATACATTTTGCGCTGAAGACAAATATATAATTTGCCGTTCCATAAAAAGCAGAATTCAGCATTCATTCCAAAACATATCAGTACTCACTCAAGTTCAAATTCTACGTCACCAACATTGACACTTTCCGGGTTACTAATGTTACATTTGAACACTTTCTCGGTTTACATTGGATACAGACGTGTATAGTGTGTAATGGACAATCCAGTCACTCAAACGTTCACACCGCGCAAAACGTTTTTCGTTGTCATTTCGGGCTATAATCTCTCATTAAATTATCAATAAAAATGTTATCACAAGAATATCACTAATTATGCTCTTATGCAGTACGTTAAGTGTCGGTCAATTCAATCAACGTACCGCTTTCGTGCATAATTTGCGGTATTCTTGAAATATTCTCATAATATCAACTCAGTAATGAAGCATTCTAATTAACTGACCTGGACTCCCTAAAGTGTCAGCGTTGAAAGCCGCTATTTTCTTTTTCCATTTTTTTTCATATTTGGCTTCCATTTTCTGCATGTCTTCTTCAAGTGTGCACGGTTGCATTGATTTCATTCTCTGAAATGACACACATACATGTGACCATGTTTGGTAACCATGGCAACACTCACTACTATGACAAACTGTGAACATTTTTATTTTTGGTGTTAAAAAATGTTTGGGGTGACTTAACAGTAAAAATCATTGTGTTTCAGGGACATCTGTTTCATGGATTCCAGTCTGTTTCATGGATTCCAGTCTGTTTCATGGATCCCAGTCTGTTTCATGGATCCCAGTCTGTTTCATGGATTCCAGTCTGTTTCATGGATCCCAGTCTGTTTCATGGATCCCAGTCTGTTTCATGGATCCCAGTTAAATTAAATTAGGATAACATGTAAATCTAAAAGGGCATCAATATTAAAGGGGAACCGCTCAATCCCATGGATTGCATCAAAGAATCATGGGACACTATTGTTTATGTTGTTTACAATGTTAATCTATCTTTTGTTATCCATTGTTATTTTAATCCAGAAAGTAAATTTGTTGTGAGATTAGGCTTAACTGGAAGGTGCCCCTTTAAGGACATTTTATGTACATGAGGTCATCCATATGGCAACACAACAACAAGTACACAAGTCAACTGTCTACCAATAGAAAACTAGTTGTCTGAAAAACCCCTATTTGGTTATAATGGCAAGTGCACATGTGATCTTCCCACCAAATACTACACGTTTGGAAAGCAGGGTGGACTGTACTCGGATTTATACTGCCTGGAATTCAATCCAAGAACCCTTCTGATGCAAGACAAAAAAAAAAATGTTTTAATTTGATAATTTCAAGTTACAATGACCTTCCTTAAATTCCATAAAATAAACTTCTGTTAACTTTAAGTTTGTTTACAGTATAACAAAAAAATATTCGAAAATGATGAAATTTAATAAAAAAAATATTTACCCGTTTCTTAACCATAGGAAGTGCTGCAGTATCGTCATCACTGAGAATTGGAAATAGAACTTCAGACACATGCTCCTGGTTCTGACGACAACTGAAAACGAATTAGAAATATTAAGACGACATTTCCGGACATTCAAGTTCTGATGTATTGTGTTTTCAGTGCTACTCGATAATTGCAAGTGCATATGCGAACCACTCCCCAAAACTTAAACCGCATTGTTTGGAAGGTGTAGCAGACTGTACTCTGATCTACAGTGCTGGGTAAACAGTTGGCTCAGGGAACTGAATTCAAAAAATGTCCCACTGCATGATAATCATGTGTACCACTGTATCATTCAGTTGTGATAATTATGGATAGAATAAAATTTCAATAATTTCTTTATAGACTATCGCACAGCAACGCTGTGATATCACACTATATTTACATATTGTGATAATCTCTGAAGTGACAAGCCAAAATAATAAGATAAATAAATAAATAAATCAACTTGACACTACGGAAAAATTAGCTATGTAATCAGGGAGGGTGACCCAACTCTTTGGCCTTTCATCTGACCCAACTCACCTTTCGACCCATAACACAGACACCAAATGAATTCCTTTCTTCATAGCCTTGGTTTTATTACTGTTTTTACCTTCCTTCCAGACCAGATGTGTTACATCATCAGTCAGTTTTGGAGAAACCTGTCAAATTATATGAGAAAACCAGTGTTCAAAATTAACAGTAGCATACAGACTAACAAATCTTGTTTTCCAAAATTAGTAGATGAAAAAAGAAATTTACAAAATATTTGTATCTTGTTTTGAAATAAACTAATTTTCTATGGGTGTTTTACACAAATTGGGCAAAATGATGTATTTATTTGTATGGCTGTAAGTATCTTTTTCAAAACTTTTAACCAATGGATATTTCAGCTCATTTTGTGTAAAATTAAAAAATAAATCATAAGAAAGTACATCAAATGTACAAAAAATCATGGTATTTACATCAGCTAGTGAAACCCTCCATGTAAATGGGAAGAAAACGATATCAGCGGGTATCACTGTGGTTGAGGGCAACAAATTATTATTATTATTAATCTGGCCGTGTCAACTCTAAGTCAAGTTACGTACTACATGTTAAGCACAGTCAAAAAAAAAACGCTTACCCTTGCACCAAGGAGTTCTAACTGTTTAGCGACTGCTCGACTTCGATTCTCAGCTTTGGATCGTACTTCAACAAAAGCCACTACATCTGGATGTGGGAAAATATTAACAGAATTTAGAGATTACAAAATATACCAACTACTACAATGTGGAGTGTGATTTATTTTCATATTGAAAAGTTTCACATAGTGCCATGGACCCAATTTTTGAGATATGGCAATAACAATTTAAGAATATAGCTGCAAGCAGCGATTACCGGCTTTCGATGCTATGCCTGA